GTTACCTACACCTATCTACTAAAAGCAACTTTTTTTTAACATTCACGAAGATTCGGATTCACAACGGGGGATATTTTAAAGTGATTGAAAAGAATCATTTATGTCATGGGACATGTGGTGTAAGTTGTAGAGAACTGAAATACCCATACTGAGGCTTGGTTAAGGTCAAGATTTATAATAAAAATGAATTATGGGTATATTATAATATTTTACTCATTCTGGTGTTTTAATTTTTTTTTTTAAATCTAGACATTATGCTATATTCATGTATAGGCAAATGAATTGTTTTGTTTAAATATGGTTGCAGGACTCCAGCAATGACTGTCCCAAACTGCCTACTCTCATGCCACTGTTACTACCCAGAAATAAGGTGAGAGTTTGTTTGTTGATGAGATTCTGTTGTTTTTTTTATCTTTAAAAATTGAATCTTTGAACTTATGAACTAATGTTCACTTTAATGTGTTTGTTTTTTTATGAGATTCTGGGTTTTTGTATAGTCAAAAATTGAATCTTTGAACTTATGTTCACTTTGATGTGTTTCAGTTTGTTTGTTGATGGGATTCTGGGTTTTTGTATAATTAAAAATTGAATCTTATGAACACTTTGATGTGTTTCAGTTGAAAATGTCAACCCCATGGCTGTCAGTTGTAGAACAGAAAGATGAAATGCCAGAGAAAATGAAATTGGCAAAAAGGTTCAAGCCTAGATTAAAATAGAACTGTTTTACTAATGTATAGAAATGCTTGACTTTGCAAGACTTTTGAATGCTGTAAAAGAAAGTCTCTGTTGTTTTCAAAACTCTCTACTAGTCTTTGAATTTTCTTTTCTCAGTTTGACCAATCTGAATGAAGAATATCAAGGCCATATGGAAAAAGCCAAAACCTGGCATCAAATTTCTTTAGCAGCACAGGTAAATAGAAACTGTTTCGTCAACCACCTTTCAGCTCATCAAAAAATATTGGCTTTGACATATGGCCATCCCCCATATGGGATATGTGCTGTGCCTAGTATACCTGTTCAACAAAAAGCAATCCCTCCACTCTGTCCATACCTACTGGGGAGAGGTGTAGATGTCGAAAAGAGAACTTTAACTGACAAACAGTATTTAATAAAATACTCTGAAAGACACAAAGATAAAGACACATTCCTGGTCCCATCTGCTAGGACAAATTTGTACAAATACTCCTTCTTCCCTAGTGCTATTAGAGCATGGAATGGGTTGCCTGAGCTAGCTAGGAAAACCAGCGACTTGGCAGAATTTAAGTCATTGGTTAATATGCATGACTCGTAGGACATAATCATCTTCTTTTTTGAAGTAACCCCTGTATTAAATAAGATAAGATAAACAGCTGTCAGTGGTTATGTATGCACTCAAAGTGGCAAAATATGTAGGTCACAGCTGGGACTGTGTAGCTATGTGAAACACTTCACTTCTCCTAAAACTTTGGACTAAAAGACAAACCTTGGTTTAATTATGTGATTTACATTTGCTTGCACAAAGTTAAAATCAACTGTTAAATCAAAAAAACTAACTAGTTCTGTGCTATCTTATATCTCATTGTATGACTTTTTTATCATCTGTCAAGATTTCATTCTTTAAGAAAACCCTAATTTTTTGTTTTGCTTTGTAAAGTCTAAGGCAGCTAAGGAGCGACCTGCCATGACACCAAAACATAAAGTCAAGGTCAAGGCTGGAGCATCCCCATCCCAACAACGTGTGCCAGTAGACTTTGAGAAGGAGCTGACCCCAAGAACCATAAACCAGAGGCGAGAGTATTCTCATTTCATTCTGCAGGAGAGACTTGCTCAAGTGAATCAGAGAAAGAAAGATGGTCTGATTAAACTCTATCTTCCATACATACATTCCTAGGGGAGGTCATTCCCAGATTTAGCTTTCAATTAGAGGCGGATCATATTTTTGAAATTTAATAAATGTTTGCAATACATGCAGAATGTTATTTGTACATTTAAATTAAAGCTGAGAAACTGATAATACCAAAAGTAGAAGAAGTGAAATGAGTAGAATTTTGTTTTTAAATACAGGAATTTTTTATCATTGAGTAGGACCACAGTTTCTAGTTCAGTTGTTAGCTACATTCCCATATCAAAAGACAGTTTGTGTGTTATGATTAATGGTTTATCCCGAGGTCATCTTGCCTTGATGAGATGTATTCCAATGACAAGTTAATCATTCTAATAACAAGATCTGTTTTTTCTGGGTTTTTTAAAATTAAAATATGTGTTTGTGATAGTTACTGTTTATAAATATACTGGTGATCTCCCAATTGCAAAAATAACTCCAGCTCAACATAATTTAAGGTGTGGTGGCTGAGTGTTAAAGCACTGTGCTTTCAAACCAACGGTTCTTGAATTTCAGTATAGACTGGGGCTTTGATTTCAGGATCTTTCAGGATGCCCGAGAGTCCACCTAACTCTAATAGGTGCTTACATTAGTTGGGGAAAGTAAAGGCAGTTGGTCATTTCGCTGGGCATGACACCCTTGTTAACTGTCATGAAATAGAAACAGATGACCTTTACCTCATCTGCCCCCCAGAGATTGCAAGGTCTGAAAAGGGGGGGGGGGGGGGGGACCTTTTTTTCTACTTCTATTCAATGTTTTTTTAAATATTAAAAATTAATGATAATTACTGCAAAGAAATGAAATCAAGCATGTTGAAAAAGTTTACTGACATGTTGAAGCTAAATCTGTGATATAGTGAATTTCTTAGTCATATAGATCTACTTCTATGCTAAGTATTCAAAGTTTCATTTGCTGAATATTTCCACCATATTATGTAATGGTGTAAAGAAGTTTGGTTCTGTAATGTTTCTTTATTTTATTTATCTCAATGTAAAAGTGATTTATGTAACTGTCCAGCAATCTAGAATGTTAGGTTCATTTGTGGCCCAGCAGTACAAAAATACATTTGAAGCTAGAAATTAAAAGCAAAAAAGTTTGAGTAAAGATTTGAATGTTTAAGTTTCAGTTGGAAATATCTTAATTTATAACTAAACTTTTCTATTGATGTAGGTAATTAAATGTAAAAAAAACAACTAAAAAAGCAAAATTTTGTTTTTGTTGAGTCTCCTTGATTACCATTGTCAGTACATATGCTATTGTATTATTAAATAACTATATTTAAAATTGTTTAGAAAACTTTATTGCGGTTGAATAAAATATTTTTAAAACTTATTTCACCGCTACAAAATCATCTCTGGGCTACTTGTCACAATGAAAGCTTTTGTTTTTTTAACCTGAGTGATATAACTTTGTATTCTTTATTATATATAGTGTCTACATGATCAGTGTGACATTTCTCTCTCTCTCTTTCTATATATATATATATATATATATATATAATCTGTGTTACTCTCTCTCTCTCTTTACCACTATATATATATAATCTGTGTGACGTATATAATGTTGATATTTATGATATTTATATTGATATGTTGATATTTCTTTATTGATTTTCTACATATTTCCAAATGATTTTCTACAAATAATTGTTAAAATGCTTTGTGGGGACTGTCAAAGTTCAACACTTATTTTTTTTAAATACACTGAGATTTTTGTTGTACTAAACACTGGCAGCCATGTTACAGACAACACAACACAACTGTGATACTTTGATATACATAAATGTATATATTATTCTAATACTTTTTTAATGTATATACTGTCTTTATTATAGAGAGTGAGACTATTGATCTATAACAATGATTTTGTGATGATTTTTAACTCTATTTGCTTCTGTCAAAAAAATAAAAAAAAATATGTTGGTATTAACCTTGTGAATAAATATTCTTTCTTTCAATCTGCGTTAGCCACATAGTGCACATTTTATTGGCCATATGGTGTACATTTTATTGGCCATATAGTGCACATTTTACTAGTCACTCAGCTTACAGATTATTGGCCTATAAATTCTAAAAATAGTTTTACGTGTATGGGTGTCACATTTTAAAGGATGCTATGTTCAGGTCTGTGCTTAAAACTTTATTTTAGAATCATGACTTTAAAGTCTTTAAGTGAAAGGGACACAACTTAAGATTAGATAAATTGCTTTCAATGATAAGAATGATTTTCTAATCCCTCTAGTGTTAGAGAGAAAAAAAAATTGAAATGCTTTTCTAAACAACTTATTTTTTAAAAATGTGTATAAATATATATATATATATATTAAGGTATTTTCAGAAGATGATAGAAAGAGGAGATCATGCTTTAAGCTTTGAAGATCTAATTATGACAGAAAACAAGAGGCTTTACTTTTCAGGGCAAGAATGCAAATGTAGCTCATCTTTCAAAGTGCATATTATAATTATTAGAGTCCAAATAATGAACAAATACTAATGTCTAATTTTAAATTACTCCAGAAGATGGACTCTGTGGGAGGGCTGTAAGCTCCCAAAGTGGAGTCTTAAAGGTTTCAAGAATATTCTGACAAAGAAAAGGAACTTTAAACAATTTCATTTTAACACAATTTTCAGGATTTTCTTTGTAATATGTTAGGAACCAAATTAACATGATGAAATGATAAATGGTATATTAAATTTTCTCTGTTTAGTCTTTTTGTTTTCTCTTCATAAAAGTGTCTGCTAGGTATTACGAACATTTTTGTATCAATCAAGAAAATTTCTGAACATAATTTTGAAGCTGAGGAAGATGTCTCCCCACATCATTTTAATTGGTGAATATTCAATGTTTCTTTTGTCCTTTGACTGGCTGGCTTCACCCCATCTACCCCTATAAAATAGCACATTATTGGCACTTTCTTTGTATTCACAGACAGTTTGTGACAACCTCAACATGGCGTATTCTCAACAAAGATGACTTCATCTAGCCTTAATAAAAATGACTTTACATAGTTTTAACCAACATGGTTTGTATCAAATAAATCTTGATGACTTAACAAAATACTGTGCAGAAATAGCCTTGATAATCACACTGTGCAGAAATGTGTCTAACCCATATAAAAAAGTGTAAACCAAACTCCAAACAAAGTTGTTACGGTCTTTATTCTTGTCTGACGTTATTGGAAAAGAAATATTAATAGCAGTGTGTTAGGACAACATCAGAGCATCATCAGAAAACAAACTAAACAGTGAAACATAGACCAGGACACAACAGCAGGTTTGTCAACTCATCGTTGACTGGGACTTTTTCATTAAGATTACCATTTAACTGTGACACAGCTGAAGGAAACTCTTTGTCGCATTGACTTTACATTAGAAGTAAACAGATTGATAAAGTCACATTGACGTAAGATTAGAAGCAATCAGAATGAGACAATAAAATCCTAAGAGAGAAAAAAAAATGAATAAAATATTAAATAAATACTAGATGTTTATAAACATTTTTTTTTTATTTCATGATCATACTAGTCAAAATGTTGTATAGGCCAAGTGACAGTGTATTATATTTTGTGTTGAGTCCAGGCATGGAATCAAGTTTACAGTAGGGCAGAAATGAGTTATGAAATCAATATTCCCAAAGTGTACAGCCAAGTGTACATCAGTCTTCATATATACAAGTTATATATATATATATACACAATAGTATGACCACTTCCTTTGTGCCAATAGCTGTACAGTATATCACATTCAGAGAAAACCAGTCTAACTAAACCAGCTGGGTTTTATATGCTAGAGGAAAGAGAATAGCAGTAAGAAATAACAGCAAGATGGACAATACTTTTGACAGTCAAGAACTCAAATTGTTATTTAAATATGGTATTATGGCTGTGTTCAAAAGTAATGAAAGATTACAGGATCTATCGGATGATAGCCCCACTGTGACCTATATACCATATATAACAGTTGTTATAACAGAAAGATGTCCAACACTGTAAAAAAAAAAAAAAAAAGTTTAATAACCAGGTTGATGTAGGACTTAGCTTGAGATCTGTGTGAATCAAGGATGAAAGAGCACTTTAAAAACCCAGCACTTTGCCTTGTTAAATATACACAGAAAAATCTAATCCTGTAATTGTGTACAAAATGTACACTTAGTATTTTAAACTAGACATATAAGACATGGAATACAAGCTACCACTGCAGTTTAAACAAATAAATTAAAATTGTTACACGAACCACAAGTGAGTTTGGTCAAACTTGAGAACTATCTTGCTCTGACTTAAGACAGTTATAGTTTCACACACCAACTTGTAAGGGTTGAAAGATTGTCTCCACAGATTTACTCTAGTGATCGCAGCAATCATTCTAGAATTGAACTGTCTGATGTCAATTCCAGATGTAATGTTGAAGTGACACTGGGCTATGAAATGTAGATTTTGTGTTGCTTTAGTACAAATTGTTGGCTCTAATCATGCACAATTGGAAAACAAATTTCCTCATGGATAATAAAGATAAGTATTATTAAAGAGAGATATACCTGTGCCAACATATATGTTAAAACTTATTTTGATCAGAATTTCTTTTTAAGTAGAGCAAGACAAAACAAAACAAAAAAAAAACACGTTGCATAACTAAAACAGTGACCTGAGCAAAGACAAGGTCAGGCCAACTCAGCAACTGGATATAGAATTCACGCTACACAGGTATCTTTCAAAAATAAGACGCCATCAGTTAATATGTAAAAAAAAAACAAAACAGTCAAACATGATAGCTTGCAATTAATTACTCGGATGTGAGTACATTTATTAATTTAATCCATAATAGATTTTCAACTGTTTTTTTTTTTGTTTTGTTTTTAAAATATACACATTTTTACTTTTAGAATGTTTTTTGTTTAAATATTAAGTGATCTATTTCTGTTTGAATTAGATCAATGATAAATCATAAACTAAAGAGCTAGAGAATTTCAACCCAACAAAAGCCTAAATTTAGCTAGTACAAGTCCTCAAGAAAACTTCTATCTAAATAAAAATATAAAAAATCCATGAATATCTATGCCCAACTGATACAAAAAAAAAAAAATATACAAAAACAAACAATGTGGGCGACTCTAGAAACATAATGTGCTAACCATGCTAACCAGTCAGCTTCTTTGTTAGCACACATAACCTAAACAAGTCTACAAGCCCTGCAATCTTCTCAAGAACTCCTCACAACTTTGTTTAGAAATGACTGAAGGAGAACAGATCTGAAAACTCAATTGCTAGACTCAATAAATACTGGTGTGCCGCAGTAGGAATGTGTCAAGTGTTATGAAGATTAGTGAATCCATTTCTGAGCTTTGTTTTAACGTAACTGTAAAATTTAAAAAATAAAAATCTCATCAGATTAATGTGACAAAAAAATAAAATGTCTATGTGATGAAGCACAGTAAAGGTAAGAATATAAATAACTGGGGTCTACAAGTGGATCAAGTCACCTGACACTTTCTTTAAGCACAAAGGAAACAAAATGCATTGTCTTAAAAAAAAAACAGCTACTAAGGTCAAGGTTATACCATAATCTTAGCACTAATCACAGTCTCGCCCAAAGCTGATTAGTTTACTCAAGACAATAATAAATTATAATAACTTAAAAAGAGCTCCAGACAATTTCTAAAGCTTATGTAACAATTTGTCCTGAAACTCAATGTTACAACACAACACAAGTTCTCTCAAATAAATGACCTAATTTTTATCCTTTGAAATAGTCACCAAGACATGTTTTTATTTGTGATCAGACTTTCTGGTATGCATTTGATCAATGGCATAGCTTCAGGACAAATCACACCAAAGTAACTCATTTATCCAGGCCTCTGACTTAAAAAAAATAAGCTATACATTCCCCCCCCCCCCCCCCCCCCAGACTACAGTATAACAGATATGTGTTGTTTTTTTGTTTTTCTTGATCTAATAATCCAAGTGTCAAATTCTTACAAATTTATATTCAGAAATAAAACAAACTTTTTAAATTGCACAATGAATCATTCATAAAAACTGAATCTTTTCATCTGTGAACTCCAATAAATAGGCAACGAAACAAATAAGAAAAACAAAAACTAAAAGATGGCCTGAAACTTTTGGGTTTCAAATGTGCTCCAATTAGAATGAGCAACCAGTTATTCCGACGTGAGTTTTAATGACGCAATAGATTAGATTGTCAAAGTTGAGATGTCCAGGCACAGTTCCAGCACCAGTGACTTTTATAAGGTTGTGAAGAAATGGTTCCGCCAAGCAACAATGCAACTCAGCCTACATGTGAGTCAAGAGCTGTAACTCAGCCAACATGTGGGTCAGAGAGGTTACACTATCTGCACGGCTCCTTTACAAAATTTGCAGGGTAGAAAGTTTCTGTCTATAAGCGGGATCTGCTCCACCATGTGGGAGTGACCCAACTCTGTCAGCAGTGTCAGGATCTTGTGGGCAGTCTTGTCCTCTTCAGGTGGGAGCCTGAAGGAAGGGGGAGTGTGCTGGTGATGATGGTGACTGTGGTGGTGGTGGTGATGATGGTGCTGGCCCTGGTGCATGTCATTATCTTCATCATCAGGAGAGTAGCCACCATCAGTCTCCTCTCTAGTATGTCCATTGTAGACATTGGACCTGAAAGAATAGACAAGTTTAACAAGTTCAATAACAAGACATTATACAATCTTATCTTACATAATACAGACGTTACTTCAAAAAAAAAAAAAAAAAAAAGATTATTCATGTGTCATGCATCTAGCCATGCATGTTAACCAATTACTTAAATTCTGACAAGTCAATGGTTCTCCTGGCTGGCTCAGGCAACCCATTCCATGCTCTAATGTGCCTTTATCTTTGTGTCTTTCTGAGTATTTTATTAGATTTTGTTTTTGTAGATTATGGTTCAATGCTTTATGTATAATTGCTACTTTACTTTTGAGTCTTGTCTCTTGAAGGCTTTCTAAATTTAGTGATTTTACTAAAGATGTTACTCTAGTCATGTTCAATACATATGTAGACTGCAAATTTGAAACCAATAACGCCTATTTTCAGTTTGAACCAGCTACCCCTTAAGTCTAAACAAAGAAATGTAACTAAATAAAAAAAATATTAATTAATAAATAAATAACCAAATTAAAGAAATGTAAAATATGTCTAGTTTTAACAAATATATAATTTTAATACCTTAGAATAAAAACAAAGTTTTAAAATACTGAATATCCGGGGTAGACCTTAAACACTGTAATATTGCAGCATCAGCACTTTCATTTTAAAAAATTTTCAGAAAAAAAAAAGCTATACACATTTGGTACTTCACTTGTGTTCTCATTCTGATGAGACATAATGAGCTCTTCTTATATGGAAGTTAAAAAAAACTGATGCTTACTTCCTATAACATCCTAACCCATTACATAAATACTGTAAACAATGCATCCTACCGCAATAATAAATAATGTGACTCTTTGAACTACTAGAACTAAATTGTGAGAAGTTTATTAAAACAAAGACGAAGCTAATATGTTTTGAAGTACTTGGGAAAAGTTGTATTAGAAAACTGGTCAGCAAGATGTTTTAATCCTGATAAAAAAAAAAGGTCCCTGACCTCCATTCGAATTAAAACTAAACCTTGTTTGACAAATTGTTCAAAATATTAATAGTAAGAATTTCAAGTTATATCCAACAATCAGATGTCATAGGGATGCAACGAAATAAAACGTAGAAGCACTGACCTATGTGCAGGATGTAATGCTGACTCTTCTGGAGAGCCTGAAGACAACTGTGATGGTTCAGAGTCTGGAGTTGATGCCCTTTGTTGGCCACCAACAATTGGCTCCACCTCACTCTCAGTATCACTCTCTGAGCTGGTGTAGTCTGGCCAATCTAGAGAAGACAAAACAAGTGAACATTTTAATTATGCACATAGACAAGCAAGTTCCATCAATAAATACATTTCTGAGCTGGTGTTGTCAGGACAATCTATAGAGGATAGGCAAAGAATGTTAATATATTTAGATGCACATTGACAAGTTCCATCTATAAATACATTGAGATTGCAGGGGATGCTGGTTTACTTTTGAATTGTCAAAGTTTCAGATAAGAAAGAATATGTAAGTACATCACTAAAGTAAAACACGAACTGTCCAGTCCAAGATTGACACACAGCAAATAAGCACAAATAAAAATCAACACTGAACAAATGTGCTTGGCTTCCGAAACAAGTCTCGGGTTCAAATCTTGGTGAACACTGGGATTCTCAATCTTTAAATTTTTAGAATACCCCTGAAGCCAGCCAACTCTAATGGGTACTAGACATTAGTTGGGGAAAGAAAAGATTGATCATTATTCTGGCAATACCCTCTTACAAAATACAGACATTACTTAAACTCCATAATTATTTTCACATTTTGACAGAACTGTTCATTTTTCCCCATTAGTACATTCTACCCTGTTAGGATTAAACTTCAATAACATTTTTTGTTTTTTATGAGAAAATGTTACTTTTGGTCTAGAATTATAGGAGACTGCATAGCTCTTTTTTTGCAACACAAATTAAAGTTTATAAAACCAAACATTAATTTAATGGGGTCTAATCAATGATGGTATCGTTAATTAGGAGAGAAAAAGTTAAAAAAGAAGATGATTACGTCCTACGCGTGTACTTTCGTTAACCCTCAGCCATAGAAATAGCTGAGCTTTACATTATCTGACCTATAGATCTCATGGTCTGAAAGCTTTTTGTTATATTTAACAAATGGAAAAAACTTTGAGGTAGTACTCACCATTGTTGTAGGAGTTCAAAGTTCCATTACTCATAGCTTGTAGGTGTTTCTGTGGCTGCTGGTGCTGTGGATGCTGTTTCTGGGGGGAGAGTTTGGTCTCCTGGTTGTAACTGTGCAGCATGTTTCTCTCCCCTAGTAGCTGCATCACTAGAGCCTGCAACTCACCAAGCTTGTCCTGACAAGTCAGAGAGAAACACCCATCAGTTTTCATTTTTTTTTTTAAATGTTATTTCAATAGATTAGTTCAATTTATTCTAGATCAAGACAGATGTAAAGGTTGTTAATATTTGGTTCTCAAAGGAATACTAAAACTCATTTTCAATTCTTGAGAAAGAAAAAAAAAGCATTGCACTTGTTAGGCTTGTAATGGTAACAAAAAAAAAAAAAAAAAAAAAATGGCCAAAGAATAATAAGATCCTTTCATTTTTATCCAAGATGAGCACAATCCCATGATCTCGAAAATTTTGTTGTGAAGTCTGATCTTCTGTTTAAAAAGCCAATCACATAAAGTAGGTTGGGTCTGCTTTACATTTTTTACATTTTTTTTTGCATAGTATTTTGAAACAGCTCCATGAGGAGCAATCATTAGCATGGGTGCATGGATGGATTTAGCAATCCTTGAGTTTGACAATATCTTTCATCTCCTCTATTTCTATTGACCCCTTTCAGAGTGCTCTCTTCACAGTACAGCTTGTCATTAAAAAAAATTGTTTTGCGTGGATCAGAAAAAGATATCCTATTAAAAAAAGGTGATTAAGAGAATGCATAGACTCAAAACAAATCTCTTAGAGCAGAAGTGAAATCTAAAGTAGCAGAAGTGAAATCTAAAGTAGAATTGAAATCTAAAGAAGAGGATCATATTTACCTGTAGCTGTTCTCTATCTCTTGCCAACTGTGAGATGTAATCATTTTTCTGGGATTCTCTCTGCTGAAGTAGAGCCCTCTGGTGGTGATACAGGGAAATATACTCTCCTGAACAAGAAACAAAATAGTTTTAATTGAACCTTGAAGGAAGAGACAGCAACTTTTAGACAGAAAATATTACTCTGAAAATATTTAGATTTCAGAAGTTAATGTTAGAAAGCAATGAATATACTTGATACATTTAGCAATTATTTATAAACATGACTATGAAGTATAATTTTTGCTTGAGAAACTGGATACACTCGAGGCAGAAGTATTGCCAGCTTGTGAACTAAGACTTTTTGGCTAATTCTTTATCACTACTGACAGCAATCCTCTTTGCCTCAAAGCCAGATACACCACCACACAAAGCCATGAGAGTAATTCTATGCATGAAGCAGACCATGTTAACAGAATTTTTGAATTATAATCCTTTGCTGCTGGAAGCTGTTGCCGTTATGCAGTTTCAGACGTCAGTGTCATGGAGACAACTTTAGGTCACAACTAACTTGTTGACATTGCTGACATTTAGCTTATTCAACATATTTTAGAAATCAGTACAATTAACAACATTCAGTCAAGTTTTCAATGTTATGAATGAAAGGTCTCATGTTAACAGAAGAAAATAAAATTGTTGCCAACTTTATTGTGTAACATCTTAAACACTTGGTCAACTCTAAAATACCTATAGTGTCTGTCTCCCCTTGTAATTGTAATACTAAGTGTTCCAACTGGTCAGCCTTGTCCGACAGGTCAGCCTTGTCCTTCATCACATGCATGTACTTCTGCTGTATCATCTCCATGGCATTCTTCAGCTCATTGTACTCTCCCCTGCTGATCTTGTCACTGTCTAAGTTATCTGTCCCTGAAGTGAAACACAATAATCTCAACAGTTCTAAAAATAGGTCATCTTCAATAAAATGACAATAAAAAAATTTAAGCCAACATTAGCAGTCATTCAGAATACACCATCAGGTACTTAAGCTTCAGAAGCTTAAAAAAAAAGGATAAGATAACAATCATGAATCTACTCTCTATACTTTAGCATCAGCTGGTATATAAAACATAGATATTAGATATTAAAAACATAGCTAACATAAGATTTAAAAACAGCTAACAAAAGATTAAAAAACATAGCAAACAGAAGATTTTAAAACAGCTAACAAAAGATTAAAAAACATAGCTAACATAAGATTTAAAAACATAGCAAAC